TTCTGCATTTCCATCAATATCTCAAGTCAAGTATTTTAATAATTTTTAATGTGTCTCCAATACTCTCAGCACACGGGAGTTCTTCTAAGCTTTCTTTGATTCAACTTCTTCTTGAAAACTACAAGCCTGAATGCTTGGATACTTACCATCTTGTTTGCCATCTTGTATTATAATGGGCAGATACTATTTGGGAGGAAGGCGCGACATTGCACTTTTTAGCGTTATCCGATATTATCATCTAATAATGTCTAAGTTAGACAGGTTTGTCTGGGCAACTATTGGGACAGTTTGTTTTTCTCCGATATTACCGATAATATCATCTAAATATGTCTAAAAATGTGTTTATACATGTAGTGGCATAAACTACTAAAAAAGGTAATTTACCCGGACAGCGATTTGTCAAGAAATAAATGTTTTATTATTATCATCCAGGATTTTTTTTAGTCGGAAAATTATATTCCCCGTATTAGTATAGACAAAATGTTTGACCACTGATTATAATTAAAAAAAAAATGCGTCCAAGCATTACGTTGAACGTTGAAAACATTCGAAGGGAATGACTTAATTTTACCTTTCCCACGTTCAGTTAATTTGAATATAAATTACAGAATTAATTAATTATAAACCTCAACAAATATTTTATCTTTCTAAGTATAAACAAATAATCCTTGACAACTGACAGCGTAACAAAATATATTTACTCAAGAACGATCGGATTGCGCTAGTGGCGGACTTAACAGAAGTACATAACAATGCCACGTATAGTATAAACTAAATGTTTATTTACGTACGTTAATAGATAGATAAAATGTGTTAATGCTACTATTGTCTCCATGGCTATTTATTCGTAATGCGGAATGAAGTATAGTTAATTCTTACACGAGTATGTTGGGTTTTTACGTAACGGCCGTAGAGTTGTCTTCCTTCCTTTCGGCTTTAAAGCATTTCCCGCCAAAAACACCGAAACGCTGGAAACAAGTTAGCAAATACGTCTCGCATGTCACATTACCGATAAAATGTAATATGACAAGGTTCCCGGTGGGTATGGGTGTCTAACTTAGACATTATTAGACGATAATATAGGAGAAAAAGTTAGACAGGTCTGTATGGGCAACTATTGGGACAGTTCGTTTTCTCCGATATTATCGATAATATCGTCTAAAAATTTCTAAGTTAGACATCTCTGCCAGAATTTCATTAGATTTTATTAGACGATAATTATCCAATAATGATTTATATGACATTGTCGCGCATTCATGCCATTTGGAGCACTGTTAAAAGACATCATTTTTTTTTTGTGTTCACTCGTGTCATACACTGGTTGAGACAGCCCTGATTTGGAACCGGTTTGAGACTGGGTTAATCTGTATTCACACGTTTTTCAACAGTGGGTTGAAATAGACTCTAGGTCGAGCTTAGTTTTTTGCCACATGTGTGAATACATTGTTAGTGCTCCAATATTTCAAGATTGTTGCTAAGCAACTGAATTTATAATTTTTCATGGCAACCAAAATAATTAGTAGAAATGCAACTTTAGCAGTGTATTGCTCAAGTCATGTTATTATAGATTAAGAGATTATTTCTGATCTGTAGCTTATCTCTGTTTTAAATACTGCTTCTATCTTTAGTGATAAGATCTGTGAAACTGACTCTCAGTACAACTGGTCCAGCATTCTGAACCAGAACAGGAAGTCAGTTAAAGATTAGGAACTTTTTTGTTAGTAGGAGAAAGTTGATTAGCGTGGGGGTGGGGGTACTCTTTTGTTTGTGATTGGTCCTGGCAACATTTGGGGGGGGGGGGTCATGACAAAGCTCCATCTTTGAAAATGCTTATCACTTTTTCTGCTTTGTTACAGAAACAGAGTCAAAGGAATTATTATAAAAAACTTACCTCTCAAAGCAACAGAAACTGATGCGGAAAGATTACTTTCAACACTTGGTGGCCGAGTGGTGAGGTGTGAAGTAGGTAGGTTATCTTATATTAGTTCACTCTAGTGATCCAATCAATTTAGTTTACTGAAATATATGCATGTACAAAGTATTGATTTGTATGATGAATCAACACTGAACTACAAAAATTACATTAGATATTTGCGGCTGACGTTTGGTCCGCAAATTACGCAAGATCTTGCAGTGATCTCAATGGTTAGTTGCTTGGTCAGACTTCTTTAGGGCCACCTCACTCCTAACTCTAATATTAACCTTGCAATCCCTATTTCAATTGTACATTTGTATATTTCCTTCTTCAGGACATTGTTTAGTTATGAGGGGTGAGTGGTGTTGTGTAATAAAAATTACATTAGGGGAGGGTCTTTCTCGTTGCTTGTTAAAGTTCGATAAAGTTGCTTTGTTTTCCTTCTTCAGTGGCAGTATCGACTACTGGTAAGACATTAAAAGCTAGTTTTGACAGTCCTGACCATGCACAGGAAGCAGTCAATAAATTAAATGGAGAAGACTACTTAGGAGTTGAACTTTCTGTAAGTTGCACTAATTTTATTTTTCTATATATAATTCTAATATCTTTATGGCATCCTTAGAAATACAAATTTTTTCTATAGATGTATAAATAAATAGAAAATTGGGAAAAAGCAGTTCAATATGGAGTGTCCGGGTAGTAACTCCTGATTTTCTATAAACTGATTCACGAGAGACAAATTTTTGTGATAGTTTGTGTAAATTTGTAGCAATTAAATTTACTTTGCCAGTCCTACATCAAGTCTTGGTGAATTTGCAGATCTGGAATTTTATCTTTGTCTTAACGAATGGAGTCTGTGAATGTCTTCTTTCAGTCGTAAAACTTTCTGGCAATGAAGTTAAATGGTTTCACTTTTTATTAAGCTGTTTATTGCATAATGTGCTGTATGTGACAAAACATAAAGACTCGTATAGGCTTTTGAAAAATAGCAGAAACCATGCTAGATTTTTTTTTTTTTTGGCATATCAAATTCTAAGGTGTATATATGCTCTCTGACATGCTTTCAGCCGATATATATTCGACTGTGATTATGTATCTGTTTTCTTCTTCTGTGAGTCCAGGTTTTGAAACAAGTTTGTTTCACCGGGCAAAATGTAGCTTATTTTTGGGCCCAAATACTATTTATTAGGTGCACATTTGCAACTTGTTTCTTTTCATGTTGCAGGTATCATACGACACAAACAACAATAGTACAGGAAACAGATATGAGGGCAGATATGAGGGGGGTGGCGGTGGAGGCGGCGGTGGAGGCGGTGGCGGCAATCAGTATGGACCACGTGGTGATCGTAATAAAATGTCACCGCGAAATGAATCTGCCTCAGGGTCCCGTCTTTACTTGTATCCTTCCATAGATCTGCCTGTTAGGTAAGTCACTTGTTAATTCAACATAACATGATTTGAATTAAATCATTTGTATTTTTATGCATATATTAATATTCGTTACTTTAAGGTGAGGAAGATTACATAGTGTGCACTTACCAATATCTATAACTAAGCAGTAGTTCATGCTTGTAGCACTCCTGTCAGTGAGTGCATCTCATCTGTGACGTTGTTGGGAATTAAAATAGTAATATGTTAGATGAAAATTTGACATTTCGCCTCTAATTCTTGTCCATTCATGTTTACTAAGAGTAAAATGTATATTTTTTTTGGTTCAAAATAACATGATTTACTCAATATTTAATTCTTGTTGTTTGTCTCAGACTACTTGTACCAAGCAGTATGGTAGGTGCTATTATTGGAAAGAAAGGTGCCAATATCCGTCTAATTACACAACAAACAAAAGCCAAGTAAGTTTTCTTCACATCAAAGCATTCCAAAATATTCCATGATCTTATCCTTGTTTTTGAGAAATTCTAACTCAACAAATGTGTTCTCTATTTTCAGGGTTGACATTCTTCGATCCAAGGAAAATGCTTCAGCCTTGGAGAAGGTACACATTTATTATATTTACTCAACTTGTCTAAATTAACAATGAGATGAAAGATGTTGGTGGATATTATCGTTGTAGACAATGTTAACTTTCTGATATCGCAATATTTTTTTAGTCATTCTTGTATACTTCTGGTGTTCAAAAGTTGTTTTGATAGAAGCCAAACATATTTGCCTTTTAACTTTATTTCTTTAACAAATGCATTTGTTGAAGCAATAATTGCACGAGATAACTGTCAAAATACCAGTGAACCAGTGTTTGGATTCAATCAGTTGTGTTATCTTACATTGTTACTATGTTCGATGTACATGAAAGATAGTATTCAAATTTGACATAAATAGTATGCATGTTTTCAAAATATAAAAGACTTAACATGGAACGACGTATAAACCCCTCCGGGGAAAACAACAAATTGACAAAAAAATTAGGATTATAAACAGATAAAAGTTGAAACTTCTCCCGAGCGATAATTCATGCTAATTTATTCATAAACAAATTGTGTGTACACGAGTGTTTTCATCAACTAGCATCGTCCAAATGAACTTGAGGATAGGCTGTTACGCCCCAAGGTCACTAATCACTCTTGAGTGTGTTTACTAAGTGGAACAGCATTCGACCCTGCGTTTCACGTGAATATTGGTCTGTACGTTTTGGATAACGAAAGTATATTCTAAATGAAGTTTCAAATCAATGACTTGTTGTAAAATGCTGTAAATTTGGAGGGGGGGGGGCTTATACTCGTGCAGGGTTTTATACTCTGGACAACTACAGTATTGCTTTTTGTATTAAATATTTATGACATCACTAAATTACTATTCGGCATGCATTTTGAAAATTCTTTACAATATGGTATTCATTTTAAGTAAGGATTATAAAATTGTATTGCTGACGTCAACACTGGATGTTCTTGCGCTAATCCTTTAATTGCAGGCCATCAATATCTACGGTACTCCTCTTCAATGTTCCAATACCGTGGAGCAGATAATGGAAACCATGGTTAAAGAAAATGAATCTGCAAACCCAAGGTACAAATCAGTTTTAAAAACCAAATGCAAATGTTGTCTTTGCTCAGTTTTCATCAAAGATTTTATGTCACGGTTAAGTCCCTGATGCTGTTTGTCTATTAATTATGCAAATTGGCTCATTTCATCATCATTCCCTCGGATTTTATTTGTCAATATTGTGGAAATTATAGTTCATAGGCATGCATGTTGAAATTACTTTTATGATTGGGCAATTTGTAAGAAGAAATAACTATTTATTGTACAAGTCTTGACTTTTATCTTTGGATTTTATCTGTCAATAACGTGTACACAATGCAAATATTCAAGTTGCACTTGATTCTCAGTTTGTTTTTATCTGATGTTGCACACAATATAACAGTTTGAAAATCATTGTTGCAACTATTTTCACAGTTGTGTGAATGGAGATGTATATTATATATTATTGAAATAAATACGCTTTGAAACGTCTGATAACACGCCAATTTCTTTAAAATTTTCAGCATTGAGATACCGCTGAAATTACTGGCTCATAACTCCTTAGTGGGACGTCTCATTGGCAAAGGTGGAACAACACTAAACAAGATTATGGAAGAGTCCAACACAAAAGTTTCCATTTCCAAGTAAGTGTCAGATTTAAGAAGTACAGAACTCAAATGGGATTATAGATGCCTGGGGATTGTGTTGTAGTGCATGCATGCCTGGGGATTGTGTTGTAGTGCATGCCTGCCTGCGGATTGTGTTGTAGTGCATACTGCCTGCCTGCGGATTGTGTTGTAGTGCATACTGCCTGCCTGCGGATTGTGTTGTAGTGCATACTGCCTGCCTGCGGATTGTGTTGTAGTGCATACTGCCTGCCTG